AATGTTTGTAAGTGTCAAACAAAATTGTCTGTGTTACCCTCCAGTGTAGCAGACTACCAATCAGACTCTGCAACACTGTTAAAATAGTAAAAGTGGCTTTATAATTTCAGAATCCATCAGAGAAAAAGCTGACATCCTGTCCCCCTGATGTGTGTAATGAGTATATGTGCTGCTTTGATATATTGTAAGACCACCTCAGACACACTGTTACATAACAGGCTTCTTTTTTTCCTCCAGATGATTGAAACTAACACCTAAAGATGAAACCACGGGGAATTTCACTGGAAACAAACAAGGGTATTTATGATGCAAGCATTCTTTCCCAAAACTCAAAACCATCATATTTGTTGAGTGGTAAAATGTTTGATCGTACCTTCTGAGCAGCATCATCTGAAGTACACAGCTTCTGGGTAAATGCGAAATACAGCCGAGTGATGAATAAATTATGATAAAATAGAAATTCTAGCTTGACAACTAAACTGCACTCGTAATAGCGGAGCAGCTACAAAAAGTAGTCAATATAATAACGTTTGGTATAGAAATGTAAAAATTACCCTACCTGGGCAAAGGTACCACAGAGGCTGGGAGACCTTTAGTGTGCTTTAGAGGTCAGTTAATAAGCAAATTACCAGCAATTGTATGTGTCTTCTCTCTAAGGCAAGAACGAATGTTAATATTTGGCCTTTGTGCAAAACCCCATATCACGTATTAGATAATATATATTAATTGCAGGTCTGCTTTGCTACATAAAGGGTACATTACTTCCTGCATTATCACTGGTCGTTGATTGATTTGTCTAATCTGAACGTACTTACATATTGCTATTCTATATTGGTAGTGTTTTTAGTGTATATTAACTCTGTTAAACTGGCACTGCATTCAGGTTTGTTCCTCCATGAAATGACACAGGTAGGCTAAGTTTAGACGTCTATACCAAAGTACTTTTTGGAAATACTTTTCTTTTGAAAACAGTACTTCTATCAAATATCCCATGAAATTGGGGCAGGGAAAACATTGCATCTTCAGTGGTGTGCTGCATACATCCTTTTCACCAAACCCACCCAGCTCACCGAGCCAGTCTCCACCTGACAAAAAGAATCACAAACTTACTGAGACAGGAGGCAGCAGGTGAGGCTGGGAAACATCACATCTAGCACCCAGGCAATCAGTACTGCTGCCCCCCAGGAGTGTCTGCTCTCCCCGCTGCTCTTTTCTATCTGCAAACGGCTGGATGAGTCTGCAGGAGACAGACAGGAGGTTGAACAGCTGGCCCACTGCTGCTGTCAGAACAACCTGGAGCCCTCCAACAATGCCCCCCTTTAACCATACTCAATAACACTGTATCTAGTGTGGACCCAGGACCTAAAGTGGGAGTCCAACACAAACACCATAATTAAGGGGGCCCAGCAGAGGCTATACTTCCTGTACCAGCTCAGGAATCTCAACCTGCTTAAAGAGCTGTCAGTCCAGTTCTACACTGCCATTATCCAGTCTGTTCTTTGCACAGTATCACTTTTATTGGCATACTTGGCTAATAAAAGTGTTACTGATTCTGATTCTGATAGTGAATGTAAATAAAATCATCAAAAATGAAACAAAACCACCAATAGAAACCAAATTCTTTTTTGATTGATTTTTCCAATGTTTGTTTTCATTTTTAATTTTCAGGAACATGTAGTTTACCAATGGATGGTTGCAACAGAAGTAAATGTTAAATTAGTTTCATTATTCATGTGCGACAGCTCTGTCTTCCTCTCTACTGCAGCCTCATTGTACTGTGTGCCAAAGTTAAGTTTCTCACACACTTCTTCTTGGACATGTATTCTTTCATATGCATGCAATATGACAGCAGTGGTGATGGGATAAAACAACATATCATATTGTCTGAAAGGAATGCTGAAGACAACACACTGTATCATCACACGGCCTGAGTCCAAGTACCCTTGGCAGTAGACCATCATCTCCTGACAAAAATTGAATGCTATTAATCCATCAGGATATTTTGAATATGCAATCACAACCAGGAATCGAGATAATCACAGCCAACTCTTTTTTTTTCTTAAAGAAATTACAGTTTGTTTTGCCAATGAAGAGTCAGATCTCTTTCATGTTTTACTGTGATCAGACTCACACAGCTAGCAGGGAGCAAGACCAGAATCGCACAAAAAGATTGAGGCAATTTGTGAATAAATCACTGCAAAACAAATTCTTGTGAACAATACATTCTCAGATTCTTTCTGTACGATACTGTAGTAAACATCTGAAGTGAGCACCAGGCCAAGGAAATAAAAGGGCAGGTCCTTGAAACGCCTCACTGGGCTTTAGCGGGTTTATACATGAGTACTGGTTAGAGTATAAACAGTGAGCAGTGCTATCGGATGTCCACCAAGGCAGTCAAGGCTCATTAATATCTGTCACAAAGCGTTTTACAAAAATCTGTGTGAAAAGGACACTGTGGACGATTTTTGGGAATTGAAAGGAAAAGCTTTGGGTGGATACGCGATATGGCAACGCTGACAAGTGTTTTTAATGCAAAGCTTCTAAACTGTAAGGTCACAATATGACTAAGGGAAGGGTACTTCACCTCTGATTCTGATTCATTTCAAGAGGTTCTTACTTGAGACCCAATGTATTTTCACAGTGCACTTTTAATAGCTAAATTCGATATAACTGATATGGGAATAATAATGTTGACACATATAGGCTGTTAATTTTAGATATACAATGCTGCTTGAAAGTAACCATTATTTCTTATTTAATCAGAACCAATATTTTTTTGTATGAAATAAAAGGTGTACGTGTATCAATTCCATATACTTCTTTTTTGAGGAAATCAACTTCTGTATGGGCAAAAGTTAGTGAACCCTGAGCTGCATTGCATAAAACTAGCAGGTAAATACAATCAGGTGGCACAAAAGTGTTTAAATTAACGAATGAAATGGATCAAACCAGGTCAGTCACTCACCAAAGTACAGAACCCACACAGGTCAATCATGCTGAGAGTAGGGCTGTGCAATTAATCACAATATTATCAAAATCACAATATGGCCAAGTGTAATATGCAAATTGCAGAAGCTGCAATGGTAAAATGTGTGATGAACAGCATTAAAATGAACCAATGTAGTGCTGTAAAGATGTCTTAGTCTGCAGATTCTGTTCTCCATGATTAAGAAAACATGTTTGTTTGGTACAGACCCACCAAAAATTATGATTTTAATAGTTTTGTTGTTTTTTCTTAGTTAAAAATTACATTTGTGAAGCAAAGAATATTGTTCCCACAGTAATCACGAATGATATTGCAATCACAATATCTGTCAAAATAATTGCAATATAATGTTTTTTACCATATCGTGCAGAACTAGCCAAGAGGAAACAAAATCTCAGAAGACCTCGGGAAGAGGGTAGTAACAGCACATTTGTCTGGGGGAAGCTATAAATTCATCTCAGAAACACCTGAGCTCCATCGGTCAACCGTGAGGCAGACTCATGGTTCACAAACCTTTGAGCAGCACTATACAGACATTAATGACTTTAATACGTACATTGAGTAATGACATGTTGTTTCCTCTTTCCCGTCAGCTCCAAGGTCAGAATAGGTCGTCCAGGTTGTCAATTGTCAGATCACAGCTGTTTTGATTCTGCTCTGATAAAGTCTTTATGGCCTGATAAAACACACTGTATACCACCTGTTGGGGACTTCCACACACAATTAAAAGTAAATGAGCAACAGCGATGGTACTGAACATGCCATCAGGTTGTTCAAATTAAGGCACAGTATCAGAGTGTATTCTTAGTGATGTGAAATGTGGTCTAAACACTGGATTACTAATAACCACTACAGAGGCCTTTGTTAAGTTCTTGATTCTGTTATTTGTACATGCATGAGAATGGGTGTATTTGAAGAGGAAGGGGGTTTACTGAAAAATGCTAATTATGCTATTTTGCTTATAATGTTTTATATGTATGTACTGTATATGTTTGTGCATTTACAGTAGATGTATGATATGAATTAAAATGCCTGTCCATGTATCCAATATAAACAATACTTTCCATGGTGAGTGTTAGATGAAAATGCATGTTCATGTACAAATGTTGTGTTGTTATAATATATTATATTGACCTGTTGGTTATGTTAACACACTTCTCTTGGAAATAAGACCAGGGATTTCTGCAGGACAAGCTTCAACAACTGGATCTTAGAGACAAGAATTTATTTGTCTATTATTCCAACATTTTTGTTAAATGCCGTACTTAAGTGCAAGGATTTACTCAGGAGAACTTTTTGGATGAGAGTTGAGAACAAGTTACGTAAGAACAATGGCACTAAACACCTTCAATCAACAGCCATAATGGAAGACTGAGTATTTCTCAATATGTAACTGTCAGTGTGTTTAAACCTTTAAGAGTTTAACAGGACAGGCTCCAATTGCAGATCTAAATAAGATCTGTTTCCTTTTTCTAAATCTAACTGTAGAGTAAGAAAGACAAATGTGATTTGTAAGACCAGTGACCACCCAACCCAACATGTATGTATTTGTAGCTTGTAGCAATCGGATAATCAATTCATTCACATTTACACACCAAGGGGTTCAGTATTTGCTCAAGGACAATTCAACATGCAGCAGGAGGAACCAGGGTTTGAACCGCCAACCTTCTGATTGGTGGATGACCCGCTCTTAGTCCTGAGCCACAGCAACAACAAATCAAATAAAATTTCTGCTCTTGTTTTACTTCAATCACAAGTATCTCCAGATGTCTTTCTAGACAAGACTAAGACTAAGACTAAGACTTTACATGGTAAAATTCAGATTCAGCAACACAAAACACATCTTTATCTGTTTACCATAAACTCTTGGGGGAAAGGCTTTAAAAAAAAAAACCCTCATCAATGTGTTCAAATAAAAAAAAAGGAAAAATGTGCAAAAAAAAAAAAAGTGCAAAGGTAAGCTAAATATGAGTGGTGTTGCCACGCCTTTTTTTACCGCCTTTATAAGACAGCACAGCCACAAAAAGAGAGCTGCAAAGCACGTGTACATCTGGAGCACTAGAGGTGAGCTAGAAACTGTTTTAATTAGCTATTTCCTCAATGTTTTGTAATGGTCATTAGTATTCCAGCAGATAAGATTCAGTAAGATTTATATAATTTGTAGCACTTTTGTTTAGGGTTATTATTATTATTTTTTACTTTATATATATAAATGGCAAATTATTTATTTATTAAATAATTTTAGTTTTTTATTTTCTTACCAAAAAGAAACAAAGCTAAAGTAATGTATGAACCTCAGAAACAAGGTGCTTAATTTTTTTTAATTATTGCTTCATTCAACAGGTGCTGATGTAAAGAGACTCAAACAGACTGAGCTTTGTTAAAGAGTTGTGGGGTTATAAATATAATAAATATCTGTAAGGTGCACGTACATACAAAGTGAGGCTGAAATGTTTGTTCAGTGTTCAAGGGTTAAAATGTTACTAAGGAAGGCGTGGGAGGAACTGGGGTACAACTGAGTGATAAGGCGGATTGCAGGTAAACATTGTTACTCATTACATCCACCTGGCTTTATTTCAGAGCTGCAACTACAGACTGCACCATGCGTTTCAACACACTGTTCTTGCTCTTCGTATCTTGTCTCTCTCTTGCACTGGCACAAGGTAAGACACTGTAAAATAGCAGCTGGTATGTGGCAGTAGTGTCACATAGGCGGTGGATAGATTTGTTAACATACAGTAAAGATAAAATGAGGGTCAATGAGGCAGGTTTATTGCTTAAGTACCTGCGTGGGCAGATGAAACCTGACTATGTACTTTCGTTCAGAACCTTTAACAATGCCTTACTGTATTAATTACTTTTTGATTGATTTACTTAATTTCATGGACTTTGCCTGTACATAACAATGATAACAATAATTTATTGTTATACTGGGGTGTGCTGGATTTTTGACTTTACTGGATTTTTGATCCTTCAGTGACTTATGACGACTGCTGTTTGAAATATGTGAAAAGAATGTCCAATGGCGCTCAAAAACATGCAGTGGACTACAGAAACCAGGTGACAGATGGAGGCTGCAACATCCCTGCTGTAATGTGAGTACACATGCACAACGATAAGAAGAACAGAAGTTTTCTATGTATGATACTCAAAATAAACTGTCTGTCTGCATCAATTATCCTCTAGCTTCGTCATGAGAAAGGGACGTGTGTTTTGCGCAGACCCCAGAGAGAGATGGGTCGAAGAGCTGAGGGAGAAGATTGACAAAAAGAAATCCCTAAAAGGTGTCAAGAGCTCCCCCAAGAAGGTGGGTGAAGTTTTTGCACTCCAAAACTATCCATCTTATCAAGTCATGTCTGTCTATATTTGAGTCCTCACAACCTTGTTTTCTGAAAACGAGATTAGTGCAGTCACCAACCAGTTTCCAACAGAAATAATTGTGTTTGATATATGAGTGTTTGTATCTTGATGTAGGGAAAATGACACAATTTTTGTGTGAACTGATGTTCAAATCAATGTCTTTGCTCTTCACAGCACCATCCACGACGGCCGTACAGAGGCTGAGGACGACTGCCTGCTACAGTGGCTCCTGTTCATTTTTCCTTCCTCTGCCAAAACTTAAGCAATAAGCAGTTTTATGATGTCTTATGGGAAAGGCAGTCAAGGACGCTAGCCAGGGAAATCTTCTAGCCTTACTTTTGCTTTCACTCTTCACTAAGATAAAGGTCAAAAGCTTAGGTGGGCCCATCGACTGGCCAGCACAAATCACATATAAATGCGTTCAATAGCATGGCTGCTTCAGTGAGCATATTTGTGACAATTTTCTTGTCCTTTGAAACATCAGATATTCAATAAGCTGTTAATTAATGTGATGGAGTGTAAATGGTAATAATATACTGTGTATATATATAAATGCAATATTTCAAGTATTTCTTGCATGTTGTGTCCAGATGTCTGCTTGTTTATGTGCAAACACTAATTGGTAAATGTAAATGCTTTTCTGAAATGTGTGTAATAGAAAAGGAGTCTTCATTTCATCTTAATGGTTTAAATGTCAGTCTTTTTTGTTGAGGTTTTATTACAGTAAATGTGTTCCAATAAAAGCATTATTACAATAAACTGGCTTATCACCACCCTCTCAGTGTTCTCTAAAAGTTTATGATCATGTTCACAAAAACATTTATAAAGTTTAACAGCACATATTTTCTTATTGGCCCACAGACAGTTTATTCTTTTGTGTTATTGGGATTTAAACACATTTTGCACAGTATTTTCTCAAAACAGGAGACATTATGTAGAGACCATTCCTGGCATTCATTCACATTGAATTGCATGACCAATTTCCAGGTTTCTTCATAAGGTTGCTTCACAGTATTATTCTCCTACATCACCTGATGTTATTATCATTAAACACAGTTTATGCTGACAGTATTTTACTTTACAAAAGTACAATTTAAATAGGTCACAGTTCTATATAACTAGTAGATATGTAACTACTCTCACCTTAAACAACCTTTGACTACCACAGTTTCTATAACAGATCACTGCAACAACCAATGAGACCAAAACAATCAGCAGTAATAAAAGAAGTGTTGAAGTGACGCATTCACCATTTTACACACTGTAATGTTTAAACCTTTGTATGTAAATGGTTCCACAAAACAGTAAATGTGAATGTGGGTGGCTTTTCAAATGTTGTATAGACATAATTATTTTTCATTTATTAAAGATTCATACATACATTCTTTTTTTTACACTTTCCTTGTGTTTCCAATGCATGCTGGGATAAGATCCGTCCCCTGCTGTGATCCTGAGCAGAGTATGCACATATAGGAAATGGATGGGAAAACTTTTCGTTTTTTCTTGTTTCCCTGTTTTTCTTGTTTCCCCATGAAACTTTCACAGCAGTTAAGGCTGCAGGTGATATGCTTTGCACATGACACACAGCTAATTTGATCTAACAATTAACAAATTAAGCCAGTTAAATCCCAAGATTGAAATATTCCGACTCCAACCGCAGTGCTAAATATCAGGCTCACATAAAACTTCAATGAGAGAATCTGTGAATGTGATGTGCTGATTTACAACCAGTATTATCTGATGTGACATAGTGCTGGATTTACTCATTGATCTATGTGCGTTTACTCTCTCATCTCCATGGGCATTCACAGGAACTGCTGGGACATGCAGCTGATAAAATCTCACTTTTAGTAATGCAGTGTGTTTGACTGCTCTGATTGATGACTTCTACACACTGGTGTATCACAGAGGCTCCGTCTTGCAACTGGTGTGTTACAATATGCCTCAATAGCAACACTATCAGACAGTACAGGCCTGTGCATCATCTGATGTTTGTTGATTAAAAGAAAGGAATGAACCCATCTTCTCGGCTAATGTACACGTGACTAAGAAATGAGAATGATATTATTGCTATTAAAAAAAAGTAGGGTAATCAACATTAAAATTAAAGAAGAAAAACCTTCATGCACGCAGGTGAAGTATCTGTTTGAATTGGCAGCCAATTTCGCCTGAAGGCAAAGGTGGTAGATAACTTGACAAATACATAATAATTACCAAGACACTAATGGCCTATACACTATTGATGGACATCCAAAATTGCATTGCGTATGACTAATGGATGCACCACCTTCAGAGGTCAAAGAATTGGGTTTCAGTTTAAAAGGATTTTGGAGCTGAGGCTTAGTTTCTTCTTGTTTATATCAAAATAATGCTGACAAATGAGCTGCTCTCGTTGCTTTTGCATGCTGGGGCAGAAAGAAATAGCTGGTTGGCATCATTAGCAGAAATTTTAGCCCTCTTTTATCAAGGGGAAAAAACCATGAAAGGAAAGTATGAGACAGGAAAACAATATGTGGAAAAATCACTTTACACTGAAACAAATGTGATGAATTACAGGATATAGGATGATTGAGCACACAAAAACCAGAAAGCAGAGAAAATGAGGTTCCGAAGGAGGCTTAAAAAAACAGAAATCAAAAATGAAGCAGCACAGACTTGTTGTTTCCAATTTTTGTATCTCTGCCACCTTCATAACTTAAAAACGAAACTAAATTCATGTTAACAGAAGTCTGTGCAAGTTTGGTGCGAAATATTGACACATGGTGGAATTATAAATCACGACTCCTATGAAAGAAAGGTAGGAAGGGCAACAGAAAAAGAAAGATGAAAGCAGTCGTAAAACATTGCATCCCACAGTTATTTGAAAATGACATTATCTTTATTCCTATAATATTTTGTACCATTTCATCTAACCCAAAAAACTGTCAGCTACTTTCTTTCACCATGAGCAGCGAAACGTCTTTGCATATCATAAATTGACCTTTTTATGCTGTTAAAAGACAGAAATGTTTTGTAGCACCATGAATGTAGTGAGTAGTTGTCATTCCTAAATGTCAGTAAAGGTCAATGTTTAATTAATTTTATATGCAGGTTTCAGGAAATACATATATACAAACTTTTTTAACATTTACATTAAATGAAAACACTGTACATGCTTTCAGATAAAAACCTTACAGCCTCCTTCAAATAAAAGATCAGATCAAGGACAAGTGTTGGGCTAGTTACTCAAAAAAATGTACTTATTATTCATTCCTCTTTTCAAAACTAATGTTATTACTTTACTTATTACTCACTGCCAACAGTAATTAATTACACTGTTGGTTATATTACAATTCTGTTACTCCCCCCAAAATTGGTGATTGTGTCCCTTCTCCACAAAATTCAGGCTTACGATGATTAAAATCAAGTTTTGTTTGTTAAAATCAAAGTAATGGGAATATTTCCAGCACCTGAATGTAAATGTATACATCTTCCATGCTAGTTTTTCTTACAATTACAAAAATGAATCCAAGGATTTGATTGGATTAGGGGTGGGTTTGGTGGGGTGAGTGTAATAGTAGTGACTTACTGCCCAACACTGGACATTTCTGGTACGTTACGCATTATTATGTCTTTACAATATTAAAAAAACAGAAAAGAAAAAAGAAATTTAAATGGAATCCATTACTTTATTTGTTTACTGAAAGGCTATTGTACTAATAAGATTTTAATTTTTCATGTTTTTTCTCTTAAAATATTGGCTGCTCATACTACATGCCAAAATGGTAAAACTTTGGAGGATTCCTATAAGTCGGTACTATCACTTACCTTTCTCTGGCATTTCACCCGTTTATAAAAAATGACATCTTGACATTTCCACCATTCCTTGTCAGCCCTCATGTGAAACTTTCATGCTCAGTTGCTGCTGTAAAAACATTGGACGTTGCAGTTAAAAGAGCGCCAAGTACGGTCACAGAATATGGAAGTAAATCTTTTGTGTCAATATACTTCCATAGCATGAGAACCTTTGTTCAAACCAGTTTCTGCCTCTTTGGCTTTGATAACAGTGCTCACCCTGTTTACAAGAGTTAGATAAAAACAGCACTATAGATACACAATGCAGGCCTTAGCACTGAATTCTGATCTATTGCTGACTTTTTATCTCGTTTGTCTGTTCAAATCATAGCACCCTCCTGTTATTTGCTAAAAAAACTGCGACAGAATGTAACTTCCCCCTGAACCCACAAATGTTGTTTTGACATTACTCTGAGTATAGATTGAACAAACAACTTGTTAATTAATCAGCCATATAGGTATTGGTGGACCAGCGGTTCTTCCAGTCCTTATGCTAAGCTGTCAATTAAACTACCTTTGGTACAGGTTACTACAATTCAAAGTGCTTTATAGATGATAGTAAGGCAATACAACTGTAAACAATAAAACAATTTGAGACTGATGCACGTGAGAAAAATAAAAATGATCAAAATCTAATCAGATATAATAGATTTTTAAAAATCAAATAAAGACTAGATAAATTAAAAGAAAATCACAAATCATTGAGAGGGAACAGAACCTTTTAATACATGAATACAATCAAATCAATTATTAAATAAAATAAATAATGGCCAGTTAGTCCTCTCTCTTCATACGTAACACACAGACATAAGAGTGGTATTCGATCGTCTCATGAAACTCTCAGAAAGAAGGCAAATAGGCCCATTTCACAAAACTATTCCTTTTAAGAAACTAAATTACATGATGATACAGACCACAGAGCGGCGTTTGTTTAGCTGGCCATCTGAGCCTGCACTCCATGTAAGTCTGTTCTGGGACTGTTTGGTGCACATCTGGCTATAGCCCACAGCTTCCACAGACCTCCTCTTTTGAATGCGGTGTAGCAAAATCCGGTAAGCACCAGTAACAGGGCTTCTCAAGTCCAAGTCATTGTTGAGGAGATGGACCTTGGTGATGCCAAGGTCCTCCAGTGCTGCCTTCACACTCAGTTCTTCTGAGCTGAGGATGTGGGAAGGCTCGACCAGGTGGCAGGGTGTAGGGCTACAAGCTGGGTAAGCCTGGGGGTATTCAATGCCTCTCATCCAGTCGCAGTTCATGATCTGTGCTATAGGGAGGCGATCCACAGGAACCGGCCTCAGGAGGCCCTTAATGATCTCCTGGCATGATCTGGGTACATAGGGGGGAATGGCATAGGAGCCCTGCAGGATACAGCCCCTAAGCTTGCCTGTGTTAGTAGCTTTAAATGGCATAGTGGCACTCACCATGAAGTAGAGCAAGATACCCAGTGCCCACATATCAGCGTACTGACCATTGTAACCTTTCTCTTTGAATAGCTCAGGGGCTGCATATGGCGGAGAGCCACAAAATGTGTGAAGGACATCAATGGGGCAGCAAGACGTGCTGAAACCAAAGTCACCCACTTTAATGCAGTAGGTGTTGGTGTAGAAGATGTTTTCAGCCTTCAGGTCCCTGTGCACAATATTATTATCATGCTGGGAGAAAAGAAAAGAAAGTTAAACAGCTATCTTGTGCACAGTTGGTTTGAGGTATGAGAACATTTAAATGCAAAGTCATAGGACAAGTTGTATTCTTGAGTGCTATTGACTGGATTCATTACTCAACAGATATAGATATATATATATTATATTATTTTACAACAAAATGTACTGCTCACAGTGTTCACATGAATTCTGCTGTTCACTTACCATATGTTTGACTGCAGACAGGACCTGGGAGAACACAAGCTTGCTCTCCAGGTCAGACAGGCGCCCCCTGGTGCTGATACGGGAGAACAGCTCTCCTCCGCTGGCATACTCCATCACCAGGTAGAGCCTCTTGAACGTCTCCACCACCTCATACAGGCGCACTATGTTGGGGTGAGCCAGCTTCTCCATGCAAGAGATTTCGGAGGCAAAAAGCGATTGAGATCGCTTGTCCAGACGCACCTTATCCAGGATTTTTACAGCCACTCTTTCTATCAGATGAAGACAGAGGCAGTCAGGCAACAAGCAATAGACACACTTGAGTACATACATAAGATATGTTCTACCTTTTTTGTTATTTAACCTTTCTTATGTTACAAAGTATTGCTTTTTCCTTTCTATTTTGATCTTTTATTAATTCCCACAGAATGTCTGTTTATCAGCATCATCGACATGTTGCACACAAGCTGCTGGCTGCCAAGGCTGAAGACAGTATGGATTAGTGGACGGCTGGTTGATGAGATTAGTTATGTCTTCTGATATCTGGACTGACCCAGACTGGACTTACATGTGTAATATGTTGAGCTGAGCTGTGTCTTCCATGAAATGAATCTGGATGTCTGTACATTCATTTTTAGAACTGAGTTTCCAACTAATTTGCTCTCACAGAAAATCTGAATCTTCTACAATATGAGCTACAGGGAGATGTAATAAAGGTTTTCTTGTACAAACCATTTACAAGAAAGCCACAGAATGACATTATGTTTTTAGGTTGTAAAATCATTATAAATATTTTAAAATCTAGATGTAAATAAAGAGAACCATTTACAGTTATGATTGCACAAAAATCCTCTTTCTTCTTACACTGTTGCAAATCAGTCCTATTCCCTCTCTTTGTACATTGTCATATCCTTTTAATCCTACATATCTTCATTAAAGTGTTTCACATTAATCACATCTTTATGACATCAATTCAATTGCATGACACTCAATGCAAAATGTGATTTAATACAAATAAAAATGTCTCGCAACATAATGTAAACACACACGAAATGTATTTAAACTTAAGAAGTGAGATATTAGAGGAGTGCCAACCATTGTATGGCAATTATAAATATTGAAGATAGACAAGTAAACATGACCCACTTTTATTGGCAGTGGTTGCAGTAGTTCTTCAAATATTTTACCTGGAGCAGAGGTGTGGCAGACTTTGACAGATTTATTGCAACAACTCTGGTGCACATGCACTTCAATTGCATTAGCACTAAATAATCCCTTCAAACTGATTAAATTCATATAGTATCATATTAGTTTACACATTGTCCTTGTGACCAAAACTGATTATGATTAAATCTTTGCAACAGTTAAGGTGTCAATCTACAGCCACTTGTCCTATTTGATCATTGATGCTGTGAAAATGGGGGTTAAAAAAAGGCATTTGCACCAGGATCTCACCTTTGGTCAGGTCATGTATCCCCAATCTAACATGGGAGAAATTTCCAGAGCCAATCTCGCCTCTTAGCTCGTAAAGCCCCACCCGCCGTCCACAAGTCAGATCATCCATCACCCTCTCTGAATGGGTAAGATCGTAAAAGGCCTTCCCAAACGGAGTGTGCTGCATGACTTCCTGCTCCTCTGTCATGTTCTTCTTTGTCTCCAACTTTTTCCCCATCTTTTTTCCCACATTTGGGGACATCTGGTTGAGGATGTCTTCCTGAAGTGGAGTTGTCTTCAAGTGAGCCCCTGATAAGGAAAAAAGAATTAAGTGCATGTCATACTTTGGGAGGCAATAGATGCTAAATACGTCTCTAATTCATAAAATCCAATTTAAATTTAGTGGTGTGTCTGTACTCACATGTTTTCCCTTTTAGGTTCTTCTTACTCCTTTCTGTGTTGATGGCATTGTTTCTGTTGTTCAAATACATGATTTCTGTCCCAGATACCAGATAGTACTCTCCTTTCCTTTGTAATCTGACTTCTTGAAGATTTTAGAGAAAAATCAGGTGGTAAATTACCAAGAAAACAAACTTCCACAAACCAATAAGAAAAATGATGTGAGCAGCATGATATGGATTCAAAACAATGAGCATGCATCAGGAAAATGCTCTTAAGATGACGTTCCTCAGATAACTAGTAGATAATTTGTCCAGATGCTGTTGTAGTACCACTGCTCTTTTTTGCCTGCTGTCTCCCTTTGCTGCAGTATTGTCTCCTGGTGTATAATCCAGAACTACTGCAGGATGCCCGGTAATCCCAGAGTGCTGGACTCCTCCCACTCAGACAAACAATAGACAGGCTTTGCAGAGGCTACTTTAACCCCTAGTCATGAACATACCGCCCAATGCAGGTGCTTGAACAGGACATTGATGGGATTAGCTCTACAATAAACTACACATAACCATCATTACTGTTAGGGGTCAAAGGACAAGGGGAAGGTTATATATGCAGTTTAAGTGGTTCATTCAGTTTCCTGTGGTTGGAACATTCACTTAGATTAACTGTAAATTACTTTTTACATTCAAATTTAAACTATATTTAAATTTGAATTATATATATTTTTTTCTACTTCAGAGGTCAAAATTGCTTTGTTATTAAAAGCCGCACTGGTAAAAAAAAATAGTAACCCCTCACAACCTCAACCAAAAGCTTAAGGAAGAGAACACAGAGAAAGGGAAGAGAACACAGAGAGTAAGTGCACACAATACACAGTGACCCAGACACTGACCATGACAGTGATTGAGGGACTGTCTGTTACCTGTGTCTCCCATCAACCACTGCTACCCAAACTGGACACACTGACCAGGACACCAGACGGATATAAGGACAGACCGTCTGCACAGACAAACTCATGGACTGTCTGTTAGCAGTCTCTCCTGTCAACCTCTGTTACCCAGAAAAGACACAGGGATTGTCTGACTGACAGTCATCGTGCATAAGCTGCACGGTTATGTCGGGAGTGACTCACTATAATCCAATCATCACCTGAGCGATCATCTCAGCACGTGCAGTGTCGAATTCATGTTGGGAGGAAAGGTTTACTGGAGAGGGCTGCATTGAAACAGGTGTGCTTGTAAATGAGGAGGTAGAAAAAACTACAATATCAACAGGTTCTGAAAAATATCACTGTTGTATTGTGGTTGCTATTGTAAGATATAAGAATGAGAACAGATATGCATTTAAAATTTCTAAAGGTCAAATGTAACTAATGCACTAATGTGTTAAGACAGGCAGCTAAAATAGATTAATGGCTTAGAGATTTATAAGCAAACCATTTTATGGACAGCACGTGACACACGATTTACATCCTTTTGCTTTTGGTTATATCTTTCTTAGCAGAGGAATTTTTATATTTTAAACCAACATGGATTAAAAATACCCCAAAAAACCAACAACATTTTATTTCTTTTGAGTTGAGTCTTGTTATCAAACTCACAAAGTTTAATTTTAGTTGAGTCTCAAGCTAACCTATGAGTCCCGCTGATATTAGTAAATTCTTATTAAAAAGCACAGAATTTATTTTACAATTTTCAAAACAAAACAGTTTACAATAATATAAATAACACAGTAGTTTTGCGGATCCCTCCCCCTTAAGGAGCTGAAACCAAATTTGAAAACCAACTGGGGCCTAACCTTATAGAATTATATAGTTTTCTGAAGACATATCATATGATCTACATAATTAAATCAAGTAATTAACAAGTAATCTGGGTTTTACCAGGATTAGGATGGAATTTCAGTAAAATTTGTTGTAACTTCATGAAAGGAATCAACAACTGAAACCTGTTGTAGGCGTCACCTTAATCAAGGTGTCTGAGTGCTGATGGCTCTCGGAACGATGATCCGTTGATCCCGATGAAAATGAGGGGATCATATCAACACTTCAAAGAAGGACTAACACCTTATTAAGATATGAATAGAACACCAGTAAAATACCAACATTGTAACATAGTTAAACTTTTCTTTCCCATGAATAAAATAAGACTTTTTGGTCTGGAAAAGGTTTTTTAAAAAGTATTTAGAGTTTTTAGGCTGCGCCTTTAGATGAGATGTATTCTGGGGCCTTGTTGCCAGGATACAGTGTTCTTTATTAAGTTTCTGTTTTACGTCACACATTTTTTTATTTAAACAGACATTGAGCCATCTGAAAACCATGTTACATATGTTACTTTAATTCTGAATCTTAACCTCTTTCTTGTGAAGAAAAGTTGAGATTTGAAGGGCAGCTCTGAGGGGTCTGGCCATTTGGTGTCATGTTGAATAAACACAAAGGTGGTGGAGTTTGCCGAAGGGGAGGCTCAGGACCCCCACACTGATCCTGTTTATGTGTTTGGGCCAGGTTTTGTTTTAAGTCAGAGGTGCTAAACACCTTCCCCCTGAGATAAAAGATGATTAATGCCTTTGAATGAGCGACGCTTTAATGGCTCAAGGCTACTTAAGCACTTCATTAGGGTGAGTTCGGGCCTGTCAACACACTCGAGCCACTGTGTCCCTCTCAGCAGAAACAGAAAAGCTGTAGAGATTTCCTTTGAAGTGGCCCCTGCTTGTAAGAACTCCATCCCACAAAGCATTCAGCATGGAAATTTGATTAGCTCTCACTTTTTGAGTCCACACCACTCTGAGACCTTGTTTTCAGGTCACATTTGGGGCTGAAACTTGATCCCATATAAATATCAGAGGCATCAGTGAGCAGAGGGACACTCAGGATCTGGCAGCTGAGGAGCAGCGGACTAAAGCCATGGATTTACCCCGACCATTCCTTCTCCTCCTGTGTGTCCTCCACCTGACCTGTAAGTACTGTTTGCTCTGTTCTATTCTACTGCTGCTGTGTGAGTGTGTAGAAGCAGATATTCACTACAACAATCTGCTCAAATGTACTTATAATGTACTATATAAATGGAAACATGAGTCATAGAGGAGTGTGATGCTGGGAACTGTGTGTGATGTGTTCACAGCAAGTTCAGGTCCATTCACTTCTCTTTTAACTAAATATTGAAGTGTTTTCTTAAATCAATATTTACAGATGAACACAGACATTAAGCTTTTAAAATAAAGTCATTTAGAGTGTTTTTTTCGTTCTTGGAAAGCTATTGTTATAAATATTCATATACCTGTCTGAGCCTAATAAACTGCTGATTCATGCTTTTCATTAAAACATTCCTGCATTATCGTGTCCCATTTTTAACTTGTATGTAAAATATTGTGATCTCATGGATCTTAATCTGCTCATCTTGTCGTAATTGTAATGTTTTGAATCATTCTTAAAGACAGATATGAAGTAAATTAATAACAATGTTAACTCACTGATATTTGTGTTGTGTTTTCTAGTGACCGGAGTGCTGAGCAAACACATAGACCACAGAAACCTGTTCACACAGAGAATGTGCTGCAAAAGACAGAGCCACTTTGTCTACATTGGACAAGGTAAAGCACCACATGCTTCCATCAGTAAATGTTTTAATTCAGCATTAAATGCACATATGTAATCCTCCAAAAGACAAAGTATGATTTGTCAAACAAACTGAGAATTTTGTAAAGCAGCTGAGATGAATAATTTGTTTGTTTTTAAAAAAAAAAAAGATTGTATTAATAATCCCTTTCTGTCTGAAATCTCTCCACAGACATCTCTGGGAGTCCTGTCAGTGTTGATGTTGGGATGTGCAGGTCGCACTGTGGGGGAGCATCCAGGCCATCACATGAAGCAGGACAGCAGGAAAAGTCCAAACATTCCTCAATGCTGGAATTTCTCAGGAGCAAAAAAGTAAGTGACCTTTCCCCGCGCAGCCACACGGGGGCGCTGTAACTTTGTGATTATCTGTCTAAGGTTATTATGCTGAAACTCGGCCTGCAGGCTTGTACTCGATCATGAAGTTATTGTGCTACTGGAGCACGTATTATTTTCGGTATTAATATTTCCGTAAGATAACATTAATCATAAACCACAAGTGTAAAAACACCCCCAGTCAATTTGCACCACTCAGTTACAATAAATCACACAGGAACATGTTCTGACATGTTGTGAACATTAATTTATCTCGCCTTACAAAAGATGAGGACGCGCGGACCTGCAGCTCCAGAGAGCTCGGAGCAGCCGAGCCAGATGCCCTCCTGCGGCATGAACCAGGTGTGCGCGGCGACCGGGATGCGTGTGGACCGGGTGCTTCTGTTCGAGGGCCCCCGGGAGGTGGAGGTCATCGAGGAGTGCCACTGCGAGATCAAGCTGACCGAGTGCATCCGCGTCCCCGCACTCAGGACTTTCTACTCCGAGACGCCTTATGAGACCGTCATCGACCTGGGAGGATGCTCCGGGTCCAAGGGCTCACCAGGTGTGTGTGTGTGTGTGTGTCTGTAGTGTACCTGTCTGTTTCAAAATGACCCACTAAAGATTGAAATACTGCACATCAAGCATCATTCAGCAGGAATATGCAGTCAGTAGGTCGATCAGTTCAGCTTGTTGAGAACAAAAAGGAGATTAAAGGGGTTATTCGACTTTTAGTGTTTTGTGTCTTTTAACTTTTTCACTGGAAAAAGGTGAAATTAAGTATTTTTACTTTGTTTACTGTCCTCACATAATTTAGATTCATTTTTAATTAACTTCACTTTAATTTGTTAACTTTTTGCACCTTTAAAAATACCCTGATGAAGGTCTTAGTAAAACATTATAACAACATATACTTAAGTTATACTGACATTCACATAGTCAAAGCAGCCCAGCACTGCTAGCATTGGATTCACCATCATTCACTATACTGACAAAGTTAAAGCCCCTATCCTTGCTGTTAGCTAAATATACATGGATAACTTTAACTTTAGTGATAAAAAAACTTTTGTTCATTTTGTGTGTTTGATTATAACCTACTTCAAACTGTGGGTATCGTTTCCATTATTTAACAGCATCAGGAAACAATAGCCTACTACCCATGAAGTTGTTGAAGCCCATCAGTCAGCTCAGGACTGATCCCGAAGCTAATCCCCTGTTTTAAAGTTCTGTTTGTTTACATTTGGATCACAGAATATAATTGAGCTGCTCTCAATAACTCCAACTTTTCTTTAATCGATCATCCACAGAGGGATTCTCCTGCGTCCCCACAAAGTTTGACTCAGCCTTGGTGGAAACCCCCAACAAAGCGGACCTCATCCAGACTGTGGCGGCCTGTGAGCTGAAGGAAAGCTGCTACAGGGTCCCATATGTGGAGTATTACTACGAAATAGTCCACCACGCAGATGGAGTCAAAGAGGAGAGGCTCAAAGTAGGTGTAAACGCTAAAGTACCACTGAACTTTATTTCTGACTCTCATAAATCATCAGTCTTGTTCATCCACAACGAAAGTGTGTGTGAATCTAACTTTATGTTTAAATCCAGCTTTTCCAAATGAGAACTTCTTAGCATGGCATAATTAACACCAGAAGAGTGATTCATTTGTGATGCCGGTTTCACACTTTCTTTTGTAATCAGGTTGAGAGGAAACAGGGGATCTAGTTGGGTGCCAGACAGTAATGAAGTATCTTTATTCATCAGGCACATGTGTGGAAGACGGCACTTAATCAAGCTAATCCACTGGCCAGTGGCTGGCACCGCACATCCTGGTGTGATAGATGTGTGGCATGCTTATTCGTGCACAATCTGCAACAATACACATGATAGACTGGCAGATTTCAGTGTCACAGCTCATCTTTATTCAGGAAAATACAATTAAAGCCTGATTTAAACTGTATTACTGGCCATGTAGAGAATTAGAATTTTTATTGTTTTATTCCACCTTAAACTTATATCATTCACAAAAGTCCCATTTACAACAAAGCTCATCCACAACCTTTTCCATATTCTACATATGACAATAATTATTTGTGATTTTAACATTACTTTAAGTTGGTCATCTGCTGTGCCTTAGTGCCAAAGGTGAGAGTGCACCACAAACACAAATGGTCCCTGCAGGTGTTGAATCAAAGCAGTTAACATTTTACACAGCAGCTGGCCCCGCAACTCAACTGGGTCAATATTTGTGAGCAGCTGTGAGCTGATTGCCCTCTCTCTGTGTTGCTAATGTTCCACAGGAAATAGATGTGGGCAGATGTTTGGGAGGTTGCACCACAGGAAACCGATGCCTTCTCAGGTAAGTATGAACACAGCTGCTACCCCCCAACACACACAGACACACACACACACACACGTCCTCTGCCCCTCTCACAACAATTGCCTGTGAGCTCTGACACTTTCTGCACTCAGCATGTTGGCTTTTTTAGTTTAATTCCTTCACCAAATGCCCCCCTCATACCTTCTGCTTTATTTTGAAATTGTGGCAGACTTGTAACAGTGTGATATCAGTTTATCTTAAACATATGAAAAGAATAAGAGGTTCACATTACATATGTACCTCCTTCATTGTATTGTTGGACTTTGATTTTATGACTGTAGGAGGGAAAGTGCTGTACAATATAAATTTAATTGACCCCTTAGCATACGCCCCCCCCTTTTACTTCCCTCTTAAGTTTTTAAGCTTTTCTAAAATCGAGTCATGTTTTTATGGCTGCACCATTCTATCAAATGCAAATATTCTAAATGCATCGTGCCTTACTTTAGACACCTTACCCTTAATACAGCCTGACACATTTGGTATCTTTGGAAACTTTGAAAGAATTTAAAAACCAGTTTTGTGGCCCCTGTAGTTTCTTTGGCTACACAGCATGATTTTGTTACCCCTGTCCTAACATTAGGTTTTAACAGGTTAATGCATGTCTTCTTCCAATGCATGGGATTAATTTTACTTGTCTCAAATATTACAAATCCCTCAACTAGTGCATAGTTGTAATGCATTTACATCCGCAGATTCTGGTTCGGAATCATAATAACTTATAAAAAAGTTTAAACAAGAATTACCGTAGTTAAAACTGACAATAAAAAGTGGACAGACACAACAGAATACAAGCACGAAAGAACATCACATATTAAAGTTGATTGTCACAGTGTAATTTGACAACACCAGGCCACATGTAAACACTGAGTTTTAGGGGTATTTAATTGCCTCAGGGGACAAACACAACATATTAAGTGGTTGTTTGACATAAAGCACAACGTGATTTTAATGTTCTTTCATTTTTCTGCTGCAGGAGTCCATCTGATCCAGAAATCTGCCACTTATGGGCTGAAAGACAGTCCAGTTCCTGTGTTCCTCAGGGCTACGAGAGCCACAGCTTCCTCAACCAGCATGGGCAGATACGCACCGTCCTGTCCATCACTTCCTGCCTTTGCCAAAACTGAACACTGCACCCCCCACTGGAAAACAACTACCAATCCCTTCTCAGAAGTTGAGAGGATATATTCCACAGTAGCAGCAGCCCATTGATGACCCCACCGAATACTGTAACATTTACTGCCCTAAAGTATTATTGTATTATATGTAATATATGTGAAAATGATAATTTTGTAAATAAATTTAATACAACAAACTTTGAGGACTTGTCATTGGACCACTGTACAACACGTTTTCTGCAAATAAAACAAAGTGGAAAGGTCTCCAAGGTGCAATACTTTAAATAAACTGAATTAAATGACACTTTATATTACAGTGCAATACAGTGTGCAGCCCTCTTAAATTATTAGATTATTAATATAATAATATAATTAAATATAATTAGTATAAAAACTACATAAACTTTATTTGATTTTCAAAAACAAGTTAATTTAACAGAAACAAGAGCAAGTATTGGCAGACCTGGCAGATCTTTTAGACTTTCAGACAATCTACAGTTCAGTGAATTGAATGAAATTCATTTAAATCCGATTCAGGGTCTAAAGTTTCAAAGAGCCAAAATGAAGCTTTGAAGCTCTGGAAAGGATAACATGAAAAGCCAACCAATTTAGCAAATGTCCCTTTGAAAAAACACACGTGCAGTTAATAGCTCCTAATTTTGATATCAAAGTGTGAAACAACACTTTTGTGGGTTTCTTTCTGTCATCCTAAGAGAATGGGTTTTATGGCTTGCTTTCAAGGTGTCACGTAGAGAAAAAAAACTTTGATCTCTTAAATGTTTATTACAGTGGGGGGAACAAACTTTTTCCAGTGTCAACTTGTCTTATGCTCGTGCGTAATTGTGCGTAAAGATCAGAGTAACCAAATGGCACCGTGAGCCATTTCTGAGTTTCCTTGAAAATAATTGAGTTGGCATTGAGAAATAAATTAAAAATAACAATGATGAAAGAATGAATTGGTTTTTGTGCTCATGATTAAGTTAACTGTCTAATTTATCAAATTTATAGATGCCTTTATCTGAAGCGGTGAAGGATACTGAAACTCAAAAAATTCCAGTGTGCAAACCATTATCAGTATCCTATTCTGTACCTAAATATATAGGGAATTCATTTGGAATGACTTGTGCCGAACTGTTGCAAATCATATAAAGGAAACGGTCTTTTTATGGGGAAAATGAACGATCACTGGTTGAAAGTATCTCCAACATTTCCACCACATTAACTTATGCCATTGCAGGAATTCCATCCAGTTGGGGGTCTTTTAAAAAATAAAACGGCAGATTTGGTGATTATCCGACTGTAACTGGATAAGCAGTTATGTAAATCCTGCGACGTGTAGCCAGCGACACCCGTCTCTTTATCGAAGTAATTGGTTTCCACCTAAGACACTGTGCCCATTATTCTAAATTAATGGATTCATTTAGGCGCAGTTAACCTCCCATGGTGAGTGCACTTCCTCAAGAGATCAGCTCCAAGTTTATGCTCTTCATATTATTTACATTTCTCTCCTATAAAATGATACAACAGAGGGAAAATATATATTCCACAACAACATAGTCATAAGTACCACGCTTTTTCAAAGGCTGGATTTAGTTTATTTGAGCCTTTATTGCCAGACGTTGAGACAATGGGCTTGAATGAAATCTACAATCGGGTTCACACCTTGTTAACACCGCCATTAGTCTCCCTTTACATTCGCTGATTGGTGATTTACATTTGCGACCAAATAGCATCTTTACTGCTGTTTACCAAGGCTTTGAGGGCCACTGAATAGTAAACGGGAGCATTTGATATAAAAAGTCGAGCTTCTAGGACCCTGCAGTCACTCCAACTCCAAGTTGCTGGCCGGTTGTGTGGCTCTAGGACACCGATGCGCCAGGAATCTACCCAAACTTCAGAGATGTTGCTGTTTGTGATCAGCTTTGCCACTCTAGTGTGCACCGCCGCTGCACGGCCTTCACTCAACTACCTGGAGAATCATTTCACCGCCGACAACGAGTCAGGAGAAGTCCGCTCAGCTGCCATCAAGAGACTTTTGGAAGTTTTTGGGATGGAGGACCCCCCTGCCATCCACGGACACAAGCAAGCACCCCAGTACATGCTTGATCTGTACAACACGGTTGCTGATGTGGACGGTGTGACCAAGGACCCGTATCTTCTGGAGGGGAATACTGTGCGCAGCTTCTTTGACAAATGTAAGATCAGATTTGTGTGTGCACACGTTTGCTTCTGGCTTCTGTAGTCAACGAAATATAGTTTTGTTCTGGTCTCTAATTATATATTTTATATTGCAGTGCGCAGTGAACAGGTGGAGTACAGGTTCAATTTGTCCATGGTGGCCAGAACTGAGAAGATTCTCACTGCAGAGCTCCATCTTTTCAAGCTGCGACCTCAGGCAACACTGACATTCCACAGACATCATTTCTGCCAGGTATGTACCATCAGATACATTCAACTGAGCAATTTAACGAAATACAGTGAATCCACCCAAATGCAACGTCTCCCTTGGATATTACTGTAATCCACTATCTCTTTTGTTTCATTTAGGTTAGTGTCTATCAGCTGCTTGACACCAGCAGAAACAACAACACACAAGAGAGGAAGCTGCTGTCTTCTCGACTCATCCCAGTCCACTCTACTGGTTGGGAGGTGTTCACCATTACACAAGCAGTAAGTATCCACTTCTCTTCTCTTTAAGAAGCTCAACTTCTGTAGGTGAATGCTGGACATAACTGCCTGGATCCAGTGTTTTAAGTGACTAACGTGAACTTCTTCATGTAGGTCCGCTCCTGGATGATAGATGAAGGCAGTAACCTGGGGCTCCATGTGGTGGTTCGGACCCTGGGGGGAAGCCAGATGGATATGAAAATGATCCGCTTTGCTTCAGGACGCAACCACCACCAGAGCAAACAGCCCATGTTGGTCCTCTTTACTGACGATGGTCGCCGCTCTACCAATGTTGAAAACACAGGTGAGACTTGCTTCAGCTTTAATGTTGTTTGAGTGATCAGGTTTTGTCCAGTGACAGTAAAAATACACAGGACATGTATTTTTGTGGTCTTACTGCTGATGAGCAGGAGTATAGATACAAATTATGTGGCCTTTTAGAAATCCTGGGCCTCCCAAGCACACATTCTCTTCCTTTCCCTGCTATACTTAACAAACACATTATTTTACAAATCAGTTATCAGACAAAGAAACATCTCAAGTCCAATGTTAATTGGCTTCCAAAAACATTCTTTCATCAGTTGTCTTCTGTTAAAAAATCTACCTGGTGAGGGAGTTAATGTGTTCTTGCCTAACTGTAACCCTTATTGTTCCAGTTGTCACAGCTAAAGCAACTTTTGCTATGTTTAATTCTTTAATGTTTTTGTTGATTTAAGTTTTGAAGTTTTCAATCAAACCTTTTTTTCAGAATAAGAGTAACAGAAAAAAATAGAGACCTGCTGTACTGTAACTTAGCTCAACTTTGCATTTTGACTCACAGAACATACTCTATAAAATACTGTATTTCCTAACAAAGTGCTTTGCCTTCCTTCACCAGACCCAAATGACACCGGTGCCACTTCCAGCCTGCCCCAGGCCCCCATGTCAGATACACCCTCCCGCAGCGCCCGATCTCTGGACTACAGCGAGGAGGAAGGTGTGTCTTCACCCTGCCAGCGCCAGCCTCTCTACGTCGACTTCGAGGAGATCGGCTGGTCGGGCTGGATCGTGTCTCCCCGGGGCTACAATGCTTACCACTGTAAAGGCTCCTGCCCTTTCCCTCTGGGTCAGAACATGAGGCCGACCAACCACGCCACCGTCCAGTCAATCATCAACGCCCTAAAGCTGATCAAAGGCATTGAAAAACCGTGCTGCGTGCCTGACAAGCTCTTCTCCATTAACTTACTTTACTTCGATGATGATGAGAATGTGGTGCTGAAACAGTATAATGACATGGTGGCTGGAAGCTGTGGCTGCCACTAACATCCACTAGTCGCTGGTGATGGACTGCACGGATATTCATAAAAAATATAATGCAAATGAGGGTTTTAGTACATAGATAGCCAGCAGCCAAACTCAAATGAAACGAATAATTAATGTGCAGTCTCATGTGTGGCTTTGTAATATATGTAAATATTCAAAAAAAATTATAATATATGGCAGTGATGGAAGTGATATCCTGTGAAAGATTTGAATGTGTATATTTTATGTTTTCTGTATTCTACAGAATAAATGGTGTAAAGAAAACATTATAGTGTGAATTTATTTGCAAAACAATTTCACTAAAAAATGTGACATTATTTCAAGAAGATCTACATTAAAGTGTTGTTGTTTGAGTGATTAGTGTTATTGGGTGAGTGAATGAGGCCAAAGGCAATGCAGAAGACCCAGTACTATTACAAGTAATGATAATAACTATTCACATTAAATTAAAATTCTTGGTCACAATTATTAGTGTTACTAAACTAGCTTGTTTAAGTCAGACTGATGACACCAAGACTTTTGCTTCTGGAATAAACAGTTTATACAGAAAAAAAACTATATTGTTGGCAAGCACCATAATTTGAAGGAAGATATCCACAATCTGCACCGCCCCCCCCTTCGCCACTAGAGGGCGGTGATGTGTTGCTGGGTGATGACAGGATGCCATGAGGGTAATTGCGTAATAGCAGAGAGCCTGGAGCCCCATTTTCCCACAAGCCTTCCTGTCTGCATATGACATGCCTGAAATGTTGCAACATATGAATGTAACTTGTGGTTCAGGTTGATCACTGGTATATTTCGAAGATAGTATCAAAAAAAACAAACAAACAAGAAACTGCTGCACCATGCCATACCAACATTTTCACATTCTTACATACTGTACTTGAGCATACATGAACATATTGTACACAGTGATTTCATTATTTAAAACAGTAGAATAAGACATTTTAATACAATACAATGCCACTGTCTGGCAATAAATCCAACGTCTGTCAAGCTTAAACTGTTACCTTTTAGGCTGTCGTTAGTGATATTGTTGCTGTTTCGGACTGAGGATGTTTCTAAATTATGTCCTCATCAACAAATGGGGTCTAAAAAGGAAGAAAGGTGGTAATATTAGTGCAGTTTTAACTGTTAAAGGGCTTTTTAAGGGGCCCACTTCCATTTATGCAGTAAGTATCCCCATCTGTCATGGGCCCTTGTAACCTTTTGGGCCTGTAGGCCACACAGGCTGCACAGTTGGTACTTACACCACTGAGTGAAATATTACTGCTATTTCTAAGTGTGTATTTTAGTGCTTCCTGTTGGCCAAATTTGTATGGAAATACAAATTCTTCAAACTAATTTCTGTAGACTTGCCATCTTGTGTTTTGAACAGAAACATATAATATAAAACATAGTAAATTCTATTCTTTTTCTTTTTTAATTTGAATACATTCAATAGCTGTCATAAACAGGCATATTTTGTAATGTAACGTTAAGATGTTAAATCTTCTGCAGTTGTGGTTGCAGAGTATGAAAGAGATGTCCCCCAGTTCTAATTGTCTGTCTAAGTTGGGAACAGCGGACATTAAAAATGTCGGGTTTAGATTCTTCATCCCAGAATAAATGTAATATTGAAGGTTTTCTCAGGAGAAATGCTTTTGTTCTGCTCACTGTGGCTGCTATTGTCAGAAGTAAGTCTCTTTATGAAATATTATCAGTCAATGTCTAACTCAATTCTCTAAATAAGGTAACACAGACAAAACTTGTCTCGCATCAAAAAGTCTATTTGCCCACTACAAAACCCTGTCTCTAAAGAGTGTAACCTGAGCAGTGACTGAGGCGTTGGCCATAGAGTGGCACTAAAGGGGGTTGATACCACTTGGCATGATGCTGGACGACAGCCCTTATTCATTGTCAAAGGGGCTGCTATTCACAATGGAGAAAACGATGAAATGCTGCCATTATAATGGGGACCAAAGGGCCCTGTGGCAGCCCGACACCCGATCTCCTCATTGGCTCTGGCTTCCTTTTGTCCCAGTATTTCATATCTGACATATCCACACACCCTAAAAAAGCACTTGATGTTGGAGCAGCAATGGACCTGAGGCTTGGTGTCTGCGTGCTCAGACATGGGGAATAAACAGACCATCTTTACAGCACAGCAGCTAGATGCCTATCAGGTTGGTGTCAATCCTGTCTCTTTCTGAATGAACAATTAGCCTCACTCACGCTAATGGTGCCTCTCTTATCAATACTAGCTACCGGCATCTATAAACAAGATTAACTCACTTGTCAGACTTTGTTGATTTAATATTTTGTTGTTCAGAAAAGTCTTTGGACATGTTACAGTCAACACCGCAGAGGCAATCTGTGACCCAATGTTAGTGACATGATGCAGAGTTAATGCCGTGTTATGAAAAACATCTGTTTTCATATAAATCCAGAACATTTACTTTACTTAGTTACTTTACTGTAGCGCAGAACGTTTTTGTTTTATTTTTGAGGTACTACATGCATTTCCATTTGATAGCACTTTGTACCTCTACTCTACATAACAGTGAGAAATGTACTTTTTTTATGTCATTACATTTATTTCATAGTTATTACTACTAAGATTTTACACAAAAACATTATCTTTAGAATTTATCTTAGAACATATGAAGCGTTATAGATTAAACTAACTAAAAATATATAAAGTAGTTATTTAAATGCTTACGTGTTAATAACTATGAACCCATAATATAACATTTTGCATAATGAGTGCTATTACTTTTGATACATCTGTACTTGTAACATTTTAAATGCATGACTTTTAATTGCATTTGACTGTTTATGGTGTGGTACTGCTTGTATACCTTCAGTAAATATCTGTATATGTTGTCCACCACTGTATAAAACAAGTAATTTAGCACCAGCTTGTATATGAACAGCTGTATCGTAATGCTGTAACTTCACTTTCCTGTCATGGTCTGATTGTATTTGCAGGACTGTACATATTTTACTAGAAAAGAAATTCTCAGGTGAGCATATTTTTTGCACTAAATCTTAATATATTTAAGCCCTTGCTGGTGTAGGACAGCTGACACAGCTGAATTTTTGTTTTGTTCTGCACAATACTACACTGTAACTCTAAACTACAGTATCAGGAGACCTGTCCTACTGTGGGGCAGTTGCTTTCAGAACTTTACTTTACTGAAACTAATTTTTCAGAGTTTTCAATGTTGACCACAATAGAGAAAAACTCCAGCTGAGTGGTAGGGGTTTCTTAATTTTCTAATTCAACTACCAAATGCCCCTCTAAAATACATAACTGCATAATATAGAATACAGCTTGTAATTTAATATTGAAAGTAAATGTTTTAAACCTTTCCTAGACTGTTCTACCGCTATCGGGATTTGGCACCGCAGCTCGTTCCTCTTGACTACACCAACCACCCAGATGTGAAGTTACCATATGAGCTGATTGGCAGCATGCCAGAACTGAAGGTAGACCTACTGGTCCACACACACCCTGCAGACCCGCTCTCTCCCAGTGTTCCCAATCCATAATTAATGGCCAACTAATCGACAGAATTATTTGAAAGGTTATATGTTACCCGACTCCTTTAAACTTGAAGAATGCTGGTGAGTCCCTCAGGGCACACTTGTTGGAAATGGGTCAATTATATGGCTCTTTACACAATGACAGCAAGGTAAACAGGTGTGTAAACACTCTGGTCACTGACATGTCCTGAGAAAGAGAGAGTAAGACTGTAAGGATTATACTTTACCTCATAGTTATTGATCGTCATGAATTGTGACAATTAATTAGCTTATTAGAATTCTCATTAGAAACACAAAAAGCAGACAAGAACATGAGATATAAACAAAAACACACAATCATGGAGCACAGGAAGGCCCTAAAATCCAATCCAAAAACAAGCACCAGTTCATAGTTCTGTATGATTAGCTGCACTGAGAAGTTTTAATCAAACTTATATTTATATGTATTGGTGTCCTCTTTGTCCAGGACAACCCATTTCGCCAGAGGATCGCTGAGGTTTTCTCTGAGGACGGAGAGGGAAACATGACATTGGATGACTTCTTGGACATGTTTTCAGTCCTGAGCGAGATGGCTCCACGTGACCTCAAAGCCTACTACGCTTTCAAAATCTATGGTAAAATATTAAAAGTGGTACAGTTGAAAAAAAAATGTCAGGGAGTTCACTCCTTTTTTGTGTTTTGTTGAGATTGTCTTTATTTCCCTATTGTTTGGGGTGCCACAGACCCTCTTTT